ACCCTTGCCCTCTCCCGCGGAAAGATGGAATCCAAAGCCCGGCTATACGCTGCCATGAAGCGCGGCGACTACATAGGGAAAGAATACGGCCTGGTAGACTTTGACCGGAAATGGGCTGAATCACAAGACGGAAAATCACCCTCTTCATCAGATTCAGATTCAGACTCCGAACCTGAAGTCAAAAAAGAAGAACCATTAATAGAGCACACGGACTCTTTTGGTCGAACTCGAATGCTCACAGCATCGCAGATAGCTTCTTTAAACCGATCAGCTTTATCCTCTGCTGATTTACAAGAAATGTCTGCCCGGCCAGCCCGACCAGATGGTGTAATATACGGCGATGCCATTCAAACTACTGCATTCGCCACGACGGAGGAGATGCAGCATTTGGCTTCAAAAAGAGACAGGTCGGCGACTCCGCCTCCTGATGTTCACTATGACGCGAACCACGAGATTCGCACCAAAGGAGTTGCTTTCTATAAGTTTAGTCATGATGCGGAGGGTAGAGAGAAAGAAATGGAGGCATTAAAAAAGGAGAGAGAGCAGACTGAGGAGGTTAGGAGAAAGACGGAAGAGGAAAAAGAAAAGAGAAAAAAGGAGATTGAAAAGAGGAGAAAGGAAATTGAGGAAAGAAGAAAAGAAATGGGTGTGAAGAGGGCTGAAAAGATTGCTGATGAGTTTTTGGAAGGGTTGGGAAGGGATTTGGTGAAGTGAGAACGATGTCTGCATGTAAGGGCATTTTATATTTACATGATTTTTCAAGGACAAAATGATACCCTGATCAATAGATTTTTAAAACCCCAGAGCATAGCCACGTCTTTTCTTCTTTCTATCTCTTGATATCTTTGAACTTGCCTGCCCCACCCCCACTTATTCCCCAAAAAGCTTGGCAACATCATTTCCCCAAACTCATTCAAACGATCCCAAACCCCACCCTTCATCAACTCACACTCACTAACTCACTCAAAACATCCATCATTCCTCCAAAGCCATGTCTTCATCGCCACCACCACAACCCTTCAAATTCCCCCGCGAACACTCCTTCCCACCCTTCTTCACCCCCCAAACAAACCTAACAACCCACCACGCCCAACAAACCAAATGGTCCTCCCTAGTCCTCTCCTACTGTCGTCATCATCGCATATTCAAACTCTCACTCTCCGATTCCCTATCTCAATCAGATCTATTTCACAACCAACAAATAAACCGTCGATTATCCCCTCAACACCAAAGATCAATAATTGATTTCCTACGTAAAGAAGGCCGAGCCGAATATCAAAAAGAAAACGGAGGAGATTTAGTATACATCTACTGGAGGACCCCAGAGGAATGGGCAGGGATCATAGAATCCTGGATCGAGGAAACGGCTCAAAAGGGTCAGGTTTTAACGGTTTATGAATTGCTCGAAGGGGAAAATACTAGAGGATCAGAGTTTTATGGGATGGATAGGGAGGTTTTGATAAAAGCGTTGAATGTTTTGGTCAAAAGAGGAAAGGCACAGATTTTTGGTCAGGAGGATAGTTTGGGTGTAAAGTTTTTTTGATATGAGTAAAAAAAAAAATTGAAAAAGAAACGCTATGGTTGCAAAGGAGAAAAACAGTCATAACTTCCTTCAAGACTAAAATACACGCAAACAATAAAAACTAATGTAACCCAACCAACCCGGCATGTTACTCTCAAGAATCTCCTCCTCCCCCAGTCTTGCCAGTTACCAAATACCTCTTATCAAACGTCAATTCCTGCCTCATTGCAACGTCCAACAACCAATCAGGATTCACAATCCTAGGCTCCATGTGTCCCTTCATCGCCATATCCTCAAACTTTGCCCACAGCAACTTTTCAGCTGGTGTAATCCCACTCAACAAGTAAACCGGTTCCGGAGGGGCACCACCGTCCTCTTCAGCAGTGGTAGGCTTGATCGTTGCTCCTCCTCGAGCGCGATACACTTTAAAAATGGCCCCGTTTGCCTCAGCAATAGCCTTGAAGGCCTCTGTTCCATTCTTGATGTGTTCGGTGCAGTACACCGGGACATTCCACAAAAGCCGACCACGGTTAGACCGCGCTCTCCCGACAGCAACACTCATCTTGATGCCGAATTTGGCTTCGTTTTCCTTGTCCACAAGCAAATGCTCGTTAACGTCTGCTCGTTCCCCTGTCTCAAGACAGGCATCAATAAAAGTCGAGTTGATCAATTCTGCGCCGCGAGCCAGACACTTTAGAAACTTCATTGTTCGGACCACTCTAGGGGCCGCCAGGTAGTCGCATGGTTGGTTATCTGTGACGATGTGGATACCCAAGGTGCGAAGCACTTTCTGTCATGATAGTTAAAACAAAATGGTATGATGGATGAAGGATATGGGGAAAAAGGACTTACTCGATCAGCTTCCTCTTGTTTTGCATTCCCTACCCACTTCTTGTAACCCGTCAAACAAACTCGCATATCAACCTCCGGCAACGAAAGCCTTTGCCTCTTTGCCGGGCGCTTCTTGGCTCCCGCTTCCTCTTCGTCCTCCTCATCCTCGTCCTCATCTGTTCGAGCTGGACTAGAACTCTTTCCACTTCGTTCTCTATCGATTTGGTCTGCCGCTCGTTTACCACCCCAGATACCATCTTTCGTGACTCTCTTCTTTTCCTTTTCATACAATGCCAAATCTGGCGCCATATCCGAAAGTCTGGACAGTGCCTGTGCCTTTGCGCTTCTGCTTACACTTGATGTGACAGACGGGGTGTCATTCTCTTTGCCTGATCTGACATGACGACCCTTCGCAGGAGTAGCAAACGTGCCCATAGAAGGCGCTGCCGCCGCCCTGGTTTTCCTGGCTGATCTGGCTGACTTTGGGGCAGTCGCATCGGCCATAAACGAGTCCTGCATGACATTAAAGTCATTCTCGAGTCCTACCATGAGCGCATTCTCTTCTGCAGCTGCCAGGATCTTCTTTTTCTTTTTGGCTGCTGCGTCCATCACCTCTTCGCCACCTGGGTAATACATCTCCCGCAAAACAGACTCTTTAAAAGAGACTTGGCCAATAACCTCGCCCAGATTTGTCCGCGGAGGGAAATGAGTGAATTTGGGGTTGTTGAGCGCCAAAGCTTTGCAGGCGGCATAGCTCTCCTCGATCCAGAGGTGGTTGACAATCTCAATATTCCAGTCCTTGGCGGCCTCGCACTTTTCACTATGCATACGAGCTGTGATGAGGTGAGTATTCTCAGCCTTCATGGTCCTGGTATATGTCGCACCGGCTGCCGTGATCAAATTTTCGAGATATGTGCGGGCATCGCCTCCATAGTTGGAGAGCGTGATCCGAAGGTCCTTAAACCCAGGAATGCCGTGTCTGGGGATCGGATAATGAAGCAATCGTCGGAGCGGGTCTGTCCACTCATTGTATACAATCATGTGGAACAGCCATGCCAAGTTACCTACCTCCTTGCCCAGTTGTGATGCAAGGACATACTGATCTCCATCGCGGTATTGGCAGATGAACATGCTGCAGTCCTCGACTCTAGTCACAATCTCCCCGTCACCCTTTGTGATCTTTTTGGTGAGGGTGTCACGCAGGCTTGGGCTGATTGGAAGATCATCCGAAAGCATGACCTTTCTCTGATTGAACACAATCAACTTTTCGCCGCCTTCGACTTGGTATGGACCTGTCGGAATGGCCGATGTTGCACCTTCGAGTTGTTGGCTATCGGGAATCTTGACTGGGTCCTCAGGTCTTGCTCGCAGAATTTCGGGGTCCGGAAGAAGGTAGGGCGTCTCGTCGATCCTCTTTCCCAAGCGGAAGCAGTCATCCAGCCAATGCGGCAAAACAACCTTTGCCTTCAGCTTCCTGGCCGTTGCCTCTTTGCACTTGGGGTGATCCATCGAGAGAGCGCAAATATGGGTGGTCTGTTTCGCCAGGTCTTTGGACTCCATGCCGCCCAAGGCCATGACGGCTCCGCAGATAGCCTCCTTGTCTGTGGAAGGGATGTCGGCGCAGGTGAGGATGACGTCGGAAAAGATCATTCTCGGATCTGGCGAATATGGTCTGAGCTGGGCGAGCTTGCCGCGCGCGAGGCTGGTTTTGATCCAATCTGGTCGGACGACGGGTACCATCATAGCCTGGGCTTCGGAGAACTGCTCAAAGTCGATTGTATTAGAGACGACATGCGTGCACTGCGCCATGCGTATTCTGCCCTTGCGGTCGGGTTCCAAAACTTCGGCGCCATTTTCTGTAATTTGAGCTTTCCAATCTACAATCGTCGACGATGACATAGACTTGCTTGGGACGAACGCGATCCTGCAGGCTTCAAACAATTGCGATTTGGCGGGTGGATGGTCTGCCATCTTGGCGACTTTGACGCGACGCGCTTTTGATCGTGGGCTGGTGGGTTGCTGAAAAGACGGTAGATAAAAGTTGAAGGGAGGTGGATTATTCTCGAGATTCGGGTTAATCAACACGGGAAAGTGAGGGTGGTAAAGTCGATTTGTGGTGGAGGTAGTGTGGTTCGTGCCTGGAGAACGGGCCCTAGGAAGACGCGCTTCAAAAATCCGCCGTGGGGAAACGGGAAACGGGTCGCAGACGCGAGGCAGCCACGGTGCACATGACAAGATCATTTAGACCCCTGTTTTTATTTATGAACCTGACCAATCAGCTTCAAAGTTGCTCCATCGGATTTTTCATCTTTCCTCTCCTTGTGGCCTGTTTCCTTTACTTTTGGAAATAAAGATTGATGTGTTTTCTTTTGACAAAGCTACACATATGTTCTCTTTGATAAATGATGTAGCCTTACCCTCTGTCTGGGTACTTTTTGTGCACGGGGAGTTTAGACCAAACGGTTTGACTCCACACTTCCACCATTCCAAACGGCCAGAACCAAAATCGGACAGTGCCCGCAGCCTGCAACAAACAGCGTCCGCAAACAAACTGATATCTGCCAGGGGCTAGCTTATTACTTTGCAACGCGGCACCTAAAAATATCATTACCTGATGTCAAAAAGGTTGACACAATGGAATTCTGGTTGATTCGATCCAGGCTCGAACTGGAGACCTTCAGTGTGTTAGACTGACGTGATAACCAACTACACCATCGAACCAGAAACATAGCTTTATGAATTTATGTGTTGATCAAGGCAACTTGACTCTATCCTATATTCAAGAACAAGGAAAAGTTCTTTGCTGTTCATTCGGTCACTTCTGACATTGTTCACCCATATTTCAATCAATATTTGTGTTTTAGAATACAAGTAAATACCTGCAAACCTTCAACCTCTTTGTTTCCTCACTATGGAAGACCTTCCGTGCCGTTACCGAATCCCGGCTCAGTCAGCAAAGTTATCCGGGGTCGGCCCCATCCACTACCTCGGTATTGGCCCACTTAAGAATCTGGGGAAGAACAACAACCTGTCAACACATGGTCAACTTTGATCACTGTTTCAATTCTCAAAGTGATGGGCTGACGTTGATAAAGTTGCATTCTCTTTTTTTGCATCATCATTTTTAAATCTTGGCTTCATGTGATAGAGTAGGAAGGAATTCCTAATCCCGATATTCGTACACTACTCTGAAATACGACACTGCCGGTTATCAGTCCAGGGGTGTTTAATATCAGCCGGGAGAATAAACCCGTTGCATTATATAAAAATCTCTCTCTCATCCTCAACTCTCACCTCACTTTTCACATCACACATCTAAACACAAATCACCCCAAAAATCCCTCAAAATGTCTTCCTCCTTCCACATAAAAACCCACACAATCGAATCCCAACACATAAGAGAATACCCCCACGCCACCTCCCAATCCCAAGAAACCCCTCTCCTCCTCTCAGTCAACCAATACATTCCCAAATCCAACCCATCCCCAAAGCCCGGCGACATAACAATCCTAGCAGCCCACGCAAACGGTTTCGTCAAAGAACTCTACGAACCCCTCTTTGAAGACCTCCTCTCCCATTTATCCACCTCCCACGGACTCTCAATCCGTTCAATCTGGATAGCAGACGTAACCCATCAAGGCCACTCCGCAATCCTCAACGAGTCCCAACTCGGCAACGATCCCTCATGGATCGACCACGCCCGCGATCTCCTACACCTAACCAACGTCTTCCGCCATGAAATGCCCCGTCCAATAATAGGTCTAGGCCATTCCTTCGGCGCAAACATAATCGTCAATCTTTCCCTCTTCCACCCCCGATTACTTTCTTCCGTCATATTATTAGACGCCGTTCTTTCTCGATTCAAGAGTAAAGGACCCAAATATGGTTTCGCGCCAATGTTGGCTTCAGCCTACAGAAGGGATTACTGGCCTTCAAGAGAAGAAGCAATTGCCTCTTTCAAGAAAAACAAATTCTACTCAACTTGGGACCCCAGAGTCTTCCAGAAATGGTGCGAATACGGTTTGAGGGATACACCTACTGCTTTGTATAACGACAAAGGTGTAACACTAACGACTTCAAAACACATGGAAACATTTACTTATTATCGACCAACCTCTCAAAAAGTAAATGCCAAGGGCGAAAGAGTCGTCGATCTGGACTTATTGCCCGATGCAGACAAAGTGGTCAAGAATCATCCCGATTTCATGTTTTATAGAGCAGAAGGAAGTCAGACTGCGGAAAAGCTTCCGGGACTTAGACCAGGTGCTTTATGGGTTTTTGGAGCGAAATCAGAGGTCAATCCGCCAGAGGTCAGACAGGAAAAGTTGGAGTTGACTGGTGTTGGTGTTGGAGGAAGCGGAGGGGCAAAGAAGGGAAGGGTCGAGACTGTGACGATTGAAGGATATGGACATTTGGTTCCGATGGAGAGGACCAATGAGTGCGCTAAATATGCGGCGGATTTCATTGCAAAGGATCTAAAGTACTGGAGGGAGGAGCAGAGGGAATTTGAGGAGGTGTGGAAGGTGAAGGAGGATAAGAAGAAATGGACGTTGGATGAGGATTGGGATAGATGGATGGGTGGTAAGCCGAAGAAAGGGGCAAAGTCTGATTGGAAGTTGTGAACATCACATCTTTTTTTGTGTGCTTGTTTTGGATGTTGATACGAAGTATCGAGCGAGCGTGTCATTATAGATTATAAAGAAGAAAGAAACATGGCCTATATACTTTGAGCAACTTGTCCCTACACCTTCCCCGGGCGGCTTAAGCTGTTCAAAACCCATTTCCCGTTTCGATGGTGTAAATCACCCACAGAACAAAACTCTCATCTGGTGTGTTCGTTTTATGTTTGCCGCCCTCTAGAGGTATCTTCTCGTGCACGGAAAGCCCTTGGGCTTCGCGTTCTACTAATGCCCTCTCAGTTGATCCAATTGCAAAAAAGGCCGACATAATTGACCCCTTGATCACAGGAATGCCCAGGCGGCGTGTCTCACCCATGACGGCGAAGAGAACCACAATAGAGAAAATTACCTGTGCAACCAGGAGAGATAGCCATTCCCACCGAATGTAAATGTACGTCTCGCGCTTTTTCGAGGTACCCAATATCGCGCTGATATTAGCACCAGTTGAAGGATCGAGTAATCTTACCGACAGTCAGCAAATGAGTCCAGAGAGCGGCATGGGAGTTGATTACTTACGCCTTTGTAATGCCATCGGCGATATTTTGAGAGACATTCTTTACAACCTGCCACTGAAGTTCATCCGTAAGTGAAATCACCTTGGCGGTGTAGTCGGGTTGGCTTTCGTCAAACTTCGAGACTGCTTTTCGAGCAGCCAACATTAGTTCGTTTCTAACAACTTCTGCTCCATCTCCTCTGGCGGTGGTCGAATCGAAGCCATCAAAGTAAGGTCCACGAAGCAGGTCGAGCATCCATCTAACCATATTCACAGTGCCTTCCCCGCCAAATCTATAATGTAAACCAGGTGTTTTAGATTCAACTAGATAACCGAGTGGAATATTCCCTGATTCTCCCGGGCTGGTAGTTTCTGGCTGATGCACTTCGGTAAAGGCTGACAATTTCCCCGTCTTGAGAATGTTCTGTGATGTTGAAATGTTGTATGTCTCGACGCAATAGTGAAACAAGACTTCCGCTGCTCGCACTTGATATCCCTCGTAGATGAGAAAAAGGCTGTAGATGGCAGACTTGTACGCCCGGATGTCATAGAACGGCAGTGTGTTGGTGGAGTAACGATCTCCATCCTGTCCCAAGCCAGACCGAAGTCCAGCACTCATTTGCAAGGAGGACACATATTTGCCCTCTTGCATGTCAACTTGATCTGGTCTTCGAGTTAATTCAGTCTAATCCCGTTTATATTCGCTTGCCAGTCTGGAAGCTGGTTTGGAATCAGTATTTCATGAAACGTAACGTGGCTGGTGATATCTTGTTGTGCATGTCAGCAGGTGCAGATGCTGGGTGAATGTGAATTGGTGGTCAGTAACCTGTTTGTAATTTTGACACATACTGCCAAAGTGTCAAAAGCAGGCCGTACGCACTCGCTAGTTGGACATATTGGGGTATGTACAACGACTTGTCGGTCCGGAGGGGTGAATAGTCCGTTGAGGAGGGTTTGAAGGACTGGAAAAGAGCGGAGTCCTACAACCCGCCAGTCAAGTCAGTAACCCCACACCTGCCGCCCGCGGCTGCTTGAAGACTGACTATATATTCCTCCTTTCTCATCTTCCGCAGTATAGTCCTGGATCTTGTATACCGAGTTAGCATTGACGTTCGGGGGCTGTACCAAGCGATCTGGGTACGTCACGGTTGACTGCGTCAAGGTCGAGGTAATCAAGCTGGTGAAAATGACGAGAGAAGCCAAGAGAGTGATAGGCCTGCCTCTTGTGGTGATCACCATGCTGAAGCTGCCCAAGGGTCCCCTGGTGACTTCATCAAAAACTTGAAAGTCACCCAAGGGTCTCGGCGTCTTGTACCAGTTCCATCGCTGCTGTAGCAAGGCTTGTATCAGGGTAAACATAAACGAAGTTCGAGATATAGTTGACAGTAAAGCGACGAAGGTGTTGATGGTGACGGTAGACCCAAGAGGCCAATCCGTCAAAGGTCGATTGTTGTACGAGAGCAGAACCGAAACAAGAATTGGAACGCAGGCAACGGCCACCAGGGCGCTGATGAGCTCCAGCCGCCAGCTGCCAAGGACATTTGTGGATTTTGATGCTTTTGAGGGAAGTCGCGGCTCTTTTCCAGATGACGTCGGAAAGTTGATCAGGGCTATTGCCGGACTTGGTTGGGAATAAGACGGAGGGCTAGTTTGGTCTTGAATGGGAGCATATGAGGCCATTCTCAATAAAATGAAAATAAAATGAAAATAAAATGAAAATAAAATGAAAAGAAAAGAAAAGGATTTACAGTGCGATGCCTCCAGTGACAAAAAGCATCCATGAAGATTTTATATCTTGATTCTTCTCATTGGCCCCCAAACCTCCCAACGCATATAAAACACTGTTACACATATCATTGCATTCAAGACAAATTCTCTGCAAACATTTCAATGATTCGTTCTCGGGAAAGAAGGCTCAGTGAGCCAAGTAAGGCTCAAGGTTGCAGATATAAGAAAGGTAATAGTATGTTGTGTAACGTTGTGTAACTCGAAACTAGAGTTTAGCATCCTTATTGCCATCTTTGTAACTTCTAATCACCGAATGGAACCCAAAACCATTGTTTTGGGTTTTTGGCCCCATAAAATTACTACACACATCTTCGGTCTTTTCATCTTGGTCGTTTCGAAAGACCGAGGTACTGCTGCCTTTTTAGCTTACCCAAAGATTGAAGACCGCACTTACGTGATGTAGATTGTCAAGAACCCAGCCCCTGTTTTGGTTGCGTGAGCTGCTAATTTCCATGAAAAGACATTTCGTCGGTTTCATGGCATGTATGTAGACTGCCAACTTCCCCGTGCTATAACAAGACTGATATCATAACTTGTCTTGCATTGGCCATACCTACACGGAGCATTGGCTCTCAATGCAGCTCTGCGCTCTTAAATATTGAGCTGTTCTCGGGCTAGTTGCTCCTTTACCTTGTACCACTTGTAGTCGGGTATTTAATGAACCACCTTTCCCTATAGTTCTTTTTAATGGTGGCTTAATATCTGCCACGACGCAGGGGCTCGCATATATAAAAGACACTACTTTTATTTCCGATCCTGCA